CTCTTACCCCATTTCATATTATTTATAGATTAAAGCTGTTATCATCCACTGATCAAATCTCACAATTAATATATTTTCTGCATTTGATTTGAATTCTTAAAAAATGGAAACGTATTTTTCAAAATAGTTAGTAGTTAAGATTATGTTGTACTGTATAGATACATATCAACAACGACAAAGAAGAAGGAGAGATGAAAAGGTATTTGATTATCTTTGCCAAAACTTAAGATGAAAAAGGACACATGCTACAAATTCTTCAGTCGTACATTTGTAAGGTAAATGTGGGCAGTTTCTGGTTTCTATATTCCCTTTAATGGCTTTGGAGAAGAAGCTTTGTTTTTAACAAAGTGTGAAGAATGTTTATGGAAGATTTGGAAGCATCTTAACAAAGTTACACGATCAAATTGCAAAGGATTTAAATGAAAAGGAGATGATGATTCTGCCTTTCCAAACCAAGCTGTTTTGAAAATGTCTTTGAGTTTTGTTCAACAAATTTTGCTCTGGTATGAAATTTTGAGTTCTCATGCAGGGATAATCAATGTTGCGGGCTGCCTAGATTTTACATGATGTTAAGGGCGAGATTATTTTTCATAGACGACAAGCTTTTTAAAAACCAAAGGGATATTTGTGTCGGTGATTTTGAGGTACAAAGAATTCGAGTACGAGATTTGTTTCAAACGGCCTTCAGTCATTGGTGGTTTAACCAACAAACTTATTTAGTCATTGGTGGAATGAAATGTTCAAACCTTCCTCAGAGTGCTACTGTTTACATATATGAAGTTTAGAACTTAATTTTCTAACCATTTGGAATGTTCGTTGGTATATCAAATCAAATCAAATCATATTTTTATTTTAATTGATTTGATGACATAACTGACACCGTATATTTGATTTGATATATCAACGCCAAAAAACGCCATATTTTATCTTTCCTGTTGATAAAACTATACCACGATCTTTTTTTATTTTTAACACTTTATTATATTAAAATTAATTTAAAATATATTACATCAATGAAAAAGTTCGAAGCTACAATCTTAATAACAAAAAATTTGGTTCCAATAATTGAAAACTAGTGGTGGCCGCGTTTCCAAAATAGAGCAGATGTTACCGTCGCGTTTATAAACTGAAAATTTTCCATCGCATTTTTAAACCGAATTTTTATGAAACGCGTTTACATGGCGTTTTTCCGCATTTCCAAAAGTTTTTGTTTTCCAAACGTTTCCAAAACAGGAAACACACCTCACACGTTTCCACACAACCTAGAGAAAGATCACTGATACTTTTTACTTGGGTTCAACAAACATGACCTCCAGAATATAACAATAAGTAGAGACTGAATTTATTGCAATGTCTTACAAGCAGGCTTTAGAGTTTAATGTAACCTGAAAACTGTACGGGCCAAACTTCTAACAAGCATCCACCGATATTCCGACAACATTAAGAGAAAAGTGAGGGCAACACACAGACAGTGAGATTCCGTGCGTGATATAGATATTGAAAACCTGAGATGTTAATCTCATTGTCCTTCACTACCCCTAACCTAAATACTCTTAATCTCTCACCAGCCTCCACTGATTCTAAAAAAACTCTCAGAAGAAAAGAGTTATTCCCAAATCAAATTACCCCAACATACACAAATACAAGAAAACGCCTTCCCTACCAAAGGCTGTTTTATTTTCAAGACCCAACAGGAGCCATGTCTTTACCTTTGGT